TAGCGCCTTTTTTCCATAAATGAGAAAATGTGCTGAAAACGGCCAACTCCGCGAACAAAAAAGGCCTATAACTCAATATTTACCAGTATATTTGTAGGTTCCGCTTTAACAATTCAATTTTTTAGTTTTTTTTTTAATTTAATTAGGAAGTACCTCCATCATAAATTTTAGCCGGCCAGCGCGATTGAAAAAAAAACTAAATCGCGGAATTTGTCCTAAAAAAAGACCGTCTGGCAACCCTGTTTTAAAATAGTACTAAAAAATTAAATAATAGTACAAAACGAAGCAATCGGAGTCAACGTGTTCCAATCCAAAATCTAACAAGGCTATGATGGTGCCCATTGGGTGCAAAGTATTGTTTTAAAATACGGACTTATAATTTACGTACATATTTTCAGCATTGGGCGAATATTATGGAAGCATTTTATAAACGTTTGGAAAGTGGAAACGTATGCTTATCTGGTGTCCCAAACGTGACGTTGCTAATCACTAAATTCGCGGAATTCGTCTCGCCGCGGCATCCTATGGATCAGTCGTTCGCCACTTCAGCGTCTCCAGCTAGGTACTAAATAATTCACGTATGTATTACTCAGAGTCGAGTTCTTCAGACGTGGTGTTAGCAACGTTACAACCTACAACGTAGTGTACAGAAACATCGAAAATGTTTTTAGCGAAGCTTACAGAGTGCAAAAATACGAATCCTTATCTAGGCAATACGAATCCTTATGCAACTTTCTAGTCAATTACAATTAATGGTCCCAAATCCTAATCTTTTCTTTCTTTATTCACGAAATTGGTAAACCAGCAGTAGAGAATGCGATAGAAAGGTCCACAGCTGACCGACCAACCAACCCTAACTCAGACTCCAGATTGACCGCAATCGCGAACCTAACCAGAGTCCAATCAGGACGGTAATGCAAAAGTAACATAAGATGTGTAAGAAAAATAGAGCAATCATCAATCACTGGATTAATGGACTTTACTCGAAACTCGATCACCACAGCCAAGATGCAATTGAGCGTTCACACAAAGTAGACAGCTGAATAGGCATGTCAGGATCTTTATCCTAGTCACAAACTCACAACAGACTTGGCAAAAACGTATCCTTATGAGCCCGGTAGAAGCACCATTTTCATAAACAACTTGTATAAAAATATATACTGACCATCAACCTTGTCAATGAATAGCCAAGTTAGAAGATAGACAACACAATTCATACGGAGAAGATGAAAGACTCTACAGTTCCACTGCACAGCACCAACCTACTCGCACGATCTTCAAAACACAACTGCCCGAGTAATGTTTACAAAATCGATGCGGCAGTGAGGCAAGTGACGTCACAGGCCGCTCGCCATCTATGTGCGGCTTTTATAACTAACCCGGACAAACCACGTTATAGTAGAAGTAGCACAACTTACTAGAGCATCTGAGATACAGATTTTAATCGGATGCATTTTACTAAAAAGAACCTCCTCCACAAATTGATTATATATTCGAAATGAAAGTCGCACGTTCAATTCAATTTAAAATTAATCTGTCATTTGAGGATACCTTTATCCCGCATTCTGTTGTTCCGAATACCGTCACACTGAATATAGAAAACAGTTGACTTTCGAAACAAACAAACGTTGTTGAAATAATGTATAGTTCCAATCAACTGGAACTGATCAATTTTTTATTACTGGAGGAAATAAAACGTTTTGATTACAAATCCCATTTTAATTTCATACTTCGCCCTGTCCCTTTTCGGCTTGAAATACCCTATGGTATAACCTCTTAGAATTCATATTAGTGGTAATATACCGATACGAAAAGTATTATGGATACACGCTCGATCAGCCCCTGAACATTCAAGGCACGTGGATTCAAGCAAATAAGCAAACCTTCAAATGAACTTTGACAAACATGATACGATTCAAATATGCTGTATAATTTGCGCTTGGATGAATAATGTTTTTTTTTTCATTTTCAAAGTGTGCTTTTTGAGAAAATAAGGTTGCATTTGCTGCTAAATACGAAAGCGCAGCGAGATAAAATTTACTTCTTATCTACTAGAAATTCCACTTCTTTTCAGCAGCTTCTTGAGCGCAGATATTATATATTTATCAAAGTGTTGCGTCTAAAGCGTGGCGCCGAATAATACTATATGAGGGCTGTTCGAGTACATTTCCAGGATACTTACTATGTCGGGATATAATTTGTACATGATCTGAAAATTTATTATTGGTGGGAGAGAAGTACGGCATTTCGAAACTGAGAGGAAAGGATTAGATCATGAATTAGATTTGTACATTTATTTACCTAATGAAATTTAAAAAATATAGTTTTTTCTAATCCTAAATGGGAGTTAAACTGAAATTAAATTTCCCATAATATGGGTTCATGCGTGTAACATGAATAAATTTAAATAATAATTTTTAAATCTCTAATTTAGAATAGATTACTTCATTATTATTTACGGGATTCGGGATAACGGGACTGAAGTGTTCTAAAATTGCAGGGATAATTGACCCTGGACAATACCGACAGATTACAAACGAAAATACCTTACATAATGCCTCCTGTGACCAACTACTGGCCGCAGGCCCGCAACTCTAACAGGCTCTTGAAGCAGCTAGTACCTCTTTACCCGACACCACTAGTTATAAAATTAGTGGCGATTATTACAGAGTAATTGCAATGAGTACCCCAATTAGTCATGTGTGAACGCAACACCCGACACCACTAGCTCTAAAATTTGTGGCGATTATTACAGACTAATTGCAATGAATACCCCAATTATTCCTGTGTGAACGCAACTCGTATAAAATGCCACCATTCAAGCGTGTCGAAAAATGAGACGTCCAATACTTGTTTTTCTCCGTTATGCACACTTGCTGCCTAATCTGTCTTCAAATAACTTCTGGAGATAATAAGTAAAAATTCCAGTACAAAGTAGCCATTTCAAATTTTCAAATAAATTCCAAAATTTTCAGTGTAAATTGTAATTAAGGAAGAAGAAATAGCGGTACAACAACACATATTTGTCTCTCGATTAAAACGCCGGAATTCGGAATCCTTGCGTTAACAGAAGCTCAGGACTGTAGTGATTCGCACTAGTATTAACCCATCAATAAACATACTAAACCTCCATATTCTTACTCGATCCTACGATATGCATATTTACTACAATCAAGAGGAAGAAGAACGGTTGTTATCACTTATAAATCTCAATTCACAATGCTTAAACAGCCCTCCTCTAAAGGACCGTTGTTGTAGTCACAGCACCTGCCGGTCAAAGCACCGAGCCTCAGCGGCAGCAAGGGAGGCTAACTTTAGGGATTAGACGTCAACTTTAAGATGCCCTCTAAAATTTATTCAGATTAACCGCTTGTCTTCATCCTTCAAAAAAGCAATATTCCTCCAAAGCAGGAGAGTTCGAGGGAACAGGGAAGCAAAATTCCTGACAGCGATAGAATTATTCATGATTGTGCCATGCTTCGGTCAGGCCGAAGTCATCCAACCACTGATATTGAAGCGTCGCTGTAGCCGCTTCAAACTTTAATGGACGTTTATATCATTTCACTGTTTTTTGGATCGAAAATAAATCGTCCAGAACTCAAATGATTAATTTTGAATGCGATTCTAACAGAATTGAATTAAATTTACACTTGAATTAAAGAAAACAAACAGTATAAATTAACTAGAAGTGTGAATTCAGAAATTCGTAAGAACGAACTTCAAACAATACTTCAGTGACTTAGAAAAATCTAGCCAGCACGGTAATAAACCTGGACCAATACACGGGCGCTGTCTCGCTCATTTAAATCTTCATGTATTTAAAAAAAAACTTAAAGTCCGTTTTCCCTGCAAGCTCTCAATTTTTTTTTTAGCTTCCAAATTGAGCATACATATTTAGCAGATTTAGTCAGATCATTAAAATTTCTTATACCTATATAATCGAATTTAAAATTAATGATAAATGTTTTGAATGAAAATTTGAAAAATTTCGTTGGTTTTTTCTTCATTTTCTAATTCGTGGTAGAAAAAATGAGTTCATTTGTTTATATAGTATAATTACATATCAGACAATGAAATAGGTATAGTGATAAAGCAGGTGTTTCAAATGGAAATCTAGAAGCCCTACAGCAAAAATAATTTGATCCAAAAAGAAAAGGATGAATCAGTTCTCGTTGTAAAGCTGAAATATTCACATGGTTAAACTAGGTATCAATTCTACCTATTAACATTACTTGAATCCACAACTAATTGTACATTACCAAACTTCAGACTTCACGCTTGTTATGGAAATAATATATTAAAATAAAAATAAATAAAGAAAAAGGAAGACGTCACAAAAGCTCCAAACCCCGAGAAGTACTAGTTTTATAAAAATGAGCAAGTTCAATGTTTCATATTTAATGGCTTTTGAATGATAAGAAAGTAATTTTCACAAGTTGAAACGATTTTTCAGCGGTTTATAAACGTCAAGATTCAAATCAACACGAATATTTCATAACAAAAAACAATGCAGAGGCTAAGAATCAACTTCCAATATTCGGCCTTTAAGAGCACCCGCTCACACCCAATAAAAAATTTACTTGAAGCACGGTTAAATTATTTACAAAGTAACAATCCAAAAAGTGAATCTTGAACGCCAAGTAAGATTATTGAAAATGTTGCACTCGTCTGACGGTTGAACGCATTAAATTCTGACATATTTACGTACACGAAAACTTTGTCAACAACATATTTTCGGTCATGATTCGTAAAATCAAATATAAAAACAGTTCTTGTAAAGCTGCCAAACACCGTTATGTCATTAAAATACTACACAGGCCCAACTTTTTAATGGAAAAATACTGCCTTAAGTAATCTCAACGTGTAAAATTAAATATCCACGAGCTTACTTCGGCAAAAAATATATTACAGTTAAAAAAGCATTGAATATAAATGACATTTTCCTTGGTTACGGGCATTAGTTGAAGGTACTGCGTAAAATGATCTCTGGCTTTAATAAAATAAAACATATTTATAAATAAATGAGCAAATCTTACTATAAATAGGCTGAAACACTAAATCAAATATTCACGATCAATAGAAAGATTCACTACTATTACTTCTGATCAATGTCGAGGGAGAGAAAAATGTACAAGTTTTTCGAATAAGCTCCAATTGTAAGCTCTGCCAAGCGCAACGCGCTAAACACAATACAAAGAAGGCAAAAAGAGTTCAAAAGTAATTCATTACTCGTTTTCCATTTAAATATAATATAAATAACATATATGACGCAAGGCTACTTCACACGACGTCTAAATGTCAACTCCAGCAAACGTTAACGGTGTACCGTACGGAGAATAACACACCTCACGAAATGCGCACAACCAGCCGTCATGCCAGACCGACGGATAATATAAAAGATTGTAATAGGTAGTTTAGTAAGCCGGAAGCTCAGCGGCCGGTGTCTTCACTGCCGCTTGGCTCGGCCGGTATATCTTGCCCGGTCGAGACGTCGTCAGTGGCGTCGTGGGACGGCCCCTGGTCGGTGTCTTCAACAGAGGTTGCGTCGCCAGCCTCGTCGTCGAAGGAGAAGTTGTAGTTGTCGCTCAAGGTCTCGTGCTGCTCACGCTCCATGATCTCTTCCTTCTGGGCTCCCTAAAATGACATACAAACACAGTCACATGATTGTTTTTAACTCCTAGCTTCGCTTTGAGTCTTACATACAGGAATTGTTATTCACATGCATTAGAGTATAATTTGAAAATAAACAGAATGTGGTTCAATAAAAAGATGAACCAGGAGGAAACTCATGGTATAATTTCAATCAGAACTTCATAGGAATGACTCAGAACAAGGTATTTACAGAAAAATCTTTCAAAGTATGCGAGTGAACTAAAAAAAAGTTTCAGTGAACTAAAATTCCAGCCTGTATCATAAATGAACCTTCCTTCCATTCCCTTCAAGCTTTGATCATCGTGCGAGTGGTCGCATTATTACATTTTAATGCGGTGTTTACAACTGATGAGGTAGGTATGTTATTATTTTGAATTATTAGCTACAGACCATGAGCTTGACGACGAGGGTCTCCACACTCGCCGCCTGCTCCGCCGAGAGTTTGTTGTCCATGCCGCCGAATTCCGCCCCTGGAGTTAAAATCTGCACTTCGATCTTGTGTTCTGAACGGTAGGGAATTTAAAAGAAAAAATAAAATCAACAGAACGGAAATCATAAAAATGGACATGAAACTATAAGTTTTGAAAGTATCACTTTAAAAAAAAGATACGCAAACATGAGTAAATTCAAAAGGAAATATCATCATAACGACAATGAATATTGCCATCAACATAGAAAAACGAAAAAAAAAATATTTTCACGAATGCACAACTGAATGAAAATAAAATAACTTTTAAAGACTGATTAGATGTCAGGAAATTGCAAAAAAATGCAAAAAAGTTCGCATGGACGCATTAAACGAAGTATTAAACGAAAAAAGGAATTTCCAGTTCTAAATTTACATAATAATATGAGAATAATTATGCGCAATTTTGAACCTTATTTTAATTTTGAAGTATAGTCTATAGAGCAGATATAACAATGTAAGCAAATAATAGCTGAGAAAACTTATTGACCGATAAATTTCCATACTTAAAAACCCCTCAATGAAATTCTGGCAACTTTCAAGTACTATTGAAATATTTTATTGAGAACAGTAACACAATATAGTGTAATGAGTAGCTTGAAAATAAAAATAGAACACGACAACTCTAAAAAGCGTAATATATTCCCCAGAACTCAAACATGTGTTATATTAGACACAGCACACGATAACTAGAAATAGTGCAGCGTATGGGCATCATAAAAACGCGACAAATCACATGATATTTAGAAATAATGCAGAGTTTAAGCATCATAAAAATAACGCGACAATTCACATGATATTTAGAAATAGTGAAGCGTTTAAGCATCATAAAAATAACGCGACAAATCACATGATATTTAGAATTAGTGCAGAGTTTAAGCATCATAAAAAAAACGCGACAATTCACATGATAACTAGAAATAGTGCAGAGTTTAAGCATCAAAAATAACGCGACAATTCACATGATATTTAGAAATAGTGCAGAGTTTAAGCATCATAAAAATAACGCACTATTGACGTCAATGCCAGCCTCCTTGATCTTGTTCTTAATGCTCTGCTGCAGGGAGCTGATCACAACACTCGCCTCCTTCTCGCCCTCACCGCGCTTGCCCTGCACACAACACAAAACATCAGATATCTTGGAAACGAAATTAGAAATGACGCTCAAAAACCTGTTGTAATAAATAAAAAACATTTTTTCATAGAAAAACATTGCTGAATGAAAGATTAATAATCTTTGTCCGTTGGTCTCGGCTTTAAAAAATATATAAATAACTACAACTTTCAATCAATCATTTCAATCAACTTTCAATAGCAAAGTATGTCATAGACGAAATAAATTGTCAATACTTTTAGAAAATTTGATATATTAGTAAATAAGAAAAATTTGGCTGTTCCCACAAAAGTTTCATGTCTAATAATAGCGAAAAAATAGATGGGTGTGAAAGATGAAGCATCGTTAAAAATTAAGAGATGTTAAGTTCTGGGATTACTGCGCCAAATCCAGTATAATGAAAATGGAGGCTATAGTTGCTGTTTATCATAGTAAAGATACATGATTAGAATCATGAAATAAATTTTAGTAAAGTTAGACCAGTTGACGTACTGACCACATACACCGACAATATAACCCTCACAAGAAGAAACCATTGCTTCTGATGAAATTGAGATTCCCCCACGTTCATTCTTACAGATATACATTTCTATTTATTCACTCTCCTAATTACATTATCATTATTATCAATTTTGCACTGCAGAAAAGGGGAGCGAGGAGACCTTAGCATCGGTCAGCCTTGCAGTTCATAGTCTCATCAAGGAAATCAAATTTAAACCTCACAACATCTTTAAAAAATTAGATGCAATCGTCAATTGAAGAAATCTCCATTTAGACCTAGGTTTTTCTCACCTTAGCGGAATTCTTGCTTAGTTTTGATTCATCGTCCTTTGATCCAGCATCTGCAATGAAAGAAATTGGCATGGAAATAAATTTCAATATCTAACAAATAAGTTCGAATTAAAACATGGGACATGAATAACATTAAATGGCAAATTTCACGTACTGAAATATTTTATTGAGAACAGTAACACGAAATAGTGTTACTGTTCGTAACTGTTCTCTTAACACTCTGTTCACTTACTGTTCGCTAGGTCACTTAAAAACGCAAGGTCTTTAGTTTCAATGACACTTCATAGCCATAACTCGACATCCACGCATAGAATGAATGTTAGTAACTAACTAAATGCTCACCATGATCAGAGAGATACTCTTTGATGAACTCATCAACCATCTTATTAGAGAGAAGTTCGAAGATATCTTTAGTGTCATCTTTCTTTGCATGGTCTTCGTTGCCCTGTTCCTCCTTGGCGGCCATGGCATCCTTAACAATCTTCTCGGCCTCGGCCACGACTTTAGCATCCATGATTGCGTTCATGTCGCCTACGCTGTTCAAAGTTTCCTGGGCCTGCGATAATAAAAAATGTAACTCAGCACTCACTGCAGTGAGTGACAGAGAGCGCATTTTCTCGTTCGTCCACGGACAGACAGACGGACGGACAGAAGGACGGACGGACGGACATGACGAGCACAATAGCGCCTTTTTTCCATATATGAGAAAATGCGCTAAAAATGCATCCCTGTTTCACATGAAAGTGACACAACGAGGGCCAACTTGTACATATTTCCTATCACACGTTTCACAGCAACAAACATGCTAATTTTCAAAAATATATATAGATTAAGAAACTCTAAGTCTGTTGTCACAGAATAAATTGAAGATTGTCTGTCATACGGAATAAATTGACGATTGAATTTGAAACAAGCAAGGTCAAAATAAAAAAATTGTACCTGTCGAACGGTAATTGTTTGTTAACGTTCATTGAGGGCATAATTTGTACATAATTCTAGCTCAAGCTGCAAATGTTCGATCAAAAAAGCTATGTATTCAAACTCATACGAACCTTTGAAATAATTTTTTCGTTTTTCTTCACGCGCCACTGCACCCATTCATCAGTACCAAACTCGGGCTCTACTTCCTTCTTCCTTGCCGCAGTCATCTGCTGTAAGGAAGAAATAATACAAAATGTAATTTATTCTCACCAGAATCAAATACTTCAAGACATCTGGCCAACATACAATGTTGGTGCATTGACATCGTTCATCTGAGACACGTACAAGGCAGCATAATTCAGTCTCCTATGTTTCTGTAGTCAGGCAGTTCAATAAAAATCAATTAATGCGCGAGATGGGAGGAAATTCAAATGAATCCTAGCCGTGAGCACCCAAGAAGAAAAACTAATCGAAATTATTCCCAATAGGAAACTACTAGTCCATCCCCCAAAACCTAGTAAAAACCCTGTCATATTAAATCGTCAACAATGCATTTACATTCCCTGTTACACTCACAATCACAGTATCATCTGTCTCAGAATCTAGAGGTAGGAATTAATGATAACACAATTCATATCTTTATGAAAATCACTTGATAGCTTAAATCGCAAGTTTATCAAGAATTCAAAAGGTAAGAAAAACAACCAAAAAATTCACCATTTCCTGAGAATGAAAACGTTTCGGAGTCCAGCTCCATCGTCAGTTCAAAACTTTTTTTGAACTGACGATGGAGCTGGACTGCGAAACGTTTTCATTCTCAAGAAATGGTGAATTTTTTAGCTGTCCTTTTTTGTTTGCTTTCAAATTCTTGAATTCATATCTTTACCTTTGTTTTGTTCTTCATGTTTTTCACTTTGAGAGCGAGCGTGCGCCAGAGCTGCAGCTTCGCAAAGTCTCCCCTCTTCTCCGCGAGGTCTGAGAGCGCAGAAAGCTCTTCGTCCAGGTCTGATAGCGTCTCGTCCAGCAACTCCTGCAGCTCGTCCTGGACACAACAATTATTACTCAACTTTCAAAATAAACTTCTCTAAGAAAGTATTCAGTTCATAGTTGAAAGGAATAACTCGAAGAATGCTTTTTAGCGCAGTTTCACATTTATGGAAAAAATTCCCTTTTGTGCTCGTCATGTCCGTCCGTCCGTGACTTCACGTTTTCGTCGATGAGAAAATGCACTCTCTTTCACTCACTACAGTTAGTACCGAGTTATATTTTTTATAATGTTTGATAACATATTTTCCTAACTGCATTTTTATTATAAATTTTGCACTGCAGAAAGCTTTAACAGTAGATAATAATAATTTAAATTTTATCCTCAATAGAAATTAGACTCACGGTGCCTGCGGACAGCTGTTCTCTCAATTTATTCAGGTTGGAAGTGCTTCCCAGATTAACATCTGTCATCTGCAGGACATGAGTTATAACAGCTTAAACAATTTTCAGAGCCCTAAAGAGTTTCAGAATATCGTTTGTTTTGTCATTGCTAACAATAAAATATGAGTGGAGAGTTGACTCACATAGGTAAATTTTATAAGTTTTTGTCCTGCAGAGTGAAATTTCTGCTAAGAAATTCATAACTAAATCAAATAATGGCTAGCCTAACTTTACAAGCTGAGGGCACAGTTACCAGATCCTAAAATATGAATAGCATTGATGAAGGCTAATACATTGGTAAATAAAGGATTAAATGAGCTTGCCGATAACTATATAATCATGACATACATCTGTGATCTTTTTCTAACTAATCCCGCAATAGCTAATATTAACATAGAAAATTTGCACTGTAGTCTCATTTGGAAGAAACATGTAAAATAAGAGTTTTTTAAACAAAATTCAATTACCTCGCTGTAGTGCTTTCCGATTCGCTGTATTATTCTATCAAGATGCGTCTCTGATTTTGTTAGCTTCGCCTCACGATCCACACTTGTAATGTCCACCTTCTCGACACCTTCGCGGTCTTCAGTTTCCACTTGTCCGTCACTGTCATCCTTAACAAGGGGAGACTCGTCCTGTTCGTTGTCATCCTTGTTGTTGTTGTCATCCTTCACAAGGGGAGACTCGTCCTGCTCGTCTGGTTCATCTTCCATGTTCACAGCGACCTCAATGACGCTGCCGACACCCACAGCCTCAGTAAGCTGGACTTCGAGCTGAGCAGGATCCTGATTGTTATCTAATAATACTTCGAGCTGAGCAGGATCCTGATTGTTATCTAATAATACTTCGAGCTGACCAGGATCCTGATTGTTATCTATTTCTGCTGAGCCAGTGAGAGAAGATGATCCTTCTGTGCTACCACTGACTACTTCGTCCTGAGCGTCTGTCATAGATGATGCAGCTGGTGGAGAACTGGCCTCAGCATTACCTGAGGTAATACAATAATATATTAATGGAAAACCGTCGAGGACACAGACATATTGTTCTTGGCCTGTATTTTAGGCTTAGCCACATTCACGGACAGAACTGGTGCTTCAGCATTACCTGCGGTAATACAATAACATATTAATCGAAAACCGTTGAGGACATAGATGTATTGTTCTTAATTAAAACAAAAACATTAGCTTCTAAATAAAAGAAGTTAATACAAAGAAAAAAAAGAAAGACATGTATTGTGATCAGACTCAGCTTTCTATGATCAAAACTGCACACAGTAAATTCACTGCCACCTTCACGAGCGTCACCGAAGGGATTCTTGATATCTTTAAAAGCTGATCCCAGGCTGAAGAGTTTGATATTAATGTCACTCTCTTCAACAGGCTGGAGACCTGCCAGAGCAGCAGCCTTTGCTCTTTCTTCAGCTTCTTTCTTCTTGCCTGCACACAATAGAAAAAAGTTATTAAACTATACAAATTCAAGACTTCAATAAATTTACTCCAAAGATCTTAATATTTCAGGACCACAATGACAATAGTACATTTTTCCTAATAGAATTTCCTTGAAAAAAACAAGCGCCCATACATGCAAAAAAAAATAATAAATTAAATTCTAGAGTATGTGAGCAACAGCAATGTGGCTGTAATCATGAAATGTAATCCATATGCAGTCATCAATGTTTGATTACTCAGCTAATTTCTCCTCTTACATTGCATAACAACACAATTGTGCATCAGACTTTACTTCTAGTATACTCGGTACTTTAATTTTTTTGCTTTCGGACTCAGTTACTATATATGTTTTGTGTAGATCAAAAGCAGGTAGATTATACCTCACCCGCTTTTCCTGGTGCCAGTCACACAGTCTAATGATGGTATCTGCCTCTGGTCTTACTCTCTAGTCATATAAAAAGATCTACGACCATTTCTGCTTATATATACACGAGTACTAATTGGCATATACTCATTAAAAACTGAGTTTTAATAATACCAAACAGAGACTTTAACTTGAAGAAAACCTAAAGTTCTTTGTATGATCAGTTAAATACCCACGGTTTTGTCTCTGTGTGTATTGCTTGAGCTTGTGCTCCTCTAGTACAGGAGCGCAGCTGATCTGATGAGGTGTACGGGATGGATGTGGGCGAAGGTATGGGTGATGACAGACGCGCGTTGTGGCAATAGTAACGATGTAACGACACGACTCTGGCTCATCCACACGCTCTATGTAGTCTCCCACGTCTGTCTCACACTTGAACTGAAATATTCATTTGATAATTAGGTACTGATGAACATATAAATAACAGATTGCAAATTATCAAGGCAATAGTAACGATGTAACGACACGACTCTGGCTCATCCACACGCTCTATGTAGTCTCCCACGTCTGTCTCACACTTGAACTGAAATATTCATTTGATAATTAGGTACTGATGAACATATAAATAACAGATTGCAAATTATCAAGGCAATGGTAACAATGTAACGGCATGACTCTGGCTCATCCACACGCTCTATGTAGTCTCCCACGTCTGTCTCACACTTGAACTGAAATATTCATTTGACAATTGGGTACTGATGAACATATGAATAATAGATAGCAAATAATCAAGGCAATAGTACAACAGATAGCAAATTATCAAGGCAATAGTAACGATGTAACGGCAGGACTCGGGCTCATCTACACGCTCTATGTAGTCTCCCACGTCTGTCTCACACTTGAACTGAAATATTCATTTAATAATTAGGTATTGATGAACATATAAACAACTGAGTGCACATTATCAAGAGATTGTTATGAAGCAATGGTAAGTTATATGTGAATACATAATTTTGATAGTGAGCTTAACATATGATCAGAAAGCTCAGGTAAAAGTCACCATCATAAAACAATTAGTAAAGAAAACATCCGTTTGAAGGCTGTCAGCACTGTTTGGGCACACCATAAACATAAAGTTATATTCCTACTCATCAGCCACGGCACTGAATATAGGAAGAATTTTAATTTATCTACATTAGAAATAATATGAATTCAATGGGGAAAAGTTCAGAATTAATAGTTTCAGAAATGATCAAAATTTAATAGGAACTATTAACTGCTAAAAAAGTGCAAAATATAGCATTTAAATTAAAAACTTGCTGAACAACACTGACATTGCTCAGGTTGGACAATTGCCAAGATTTTAGAATCCATAGCCCTAGGTTTCCCCACAGCATTAACATTAATTCTCAAACATAAGCAATGGTTATTGCATTGTGAGGGAATGGTTTTTTGCGGTGTGTATTCATGTTGCCATTCCTTCTCTCATGCTTTTCTCCCAAATCCCTCGTGTTAGAGACTGCCATTTTATATACCTCTGCCAGACGAACAAAATTTTAGATCTTCCTAATGCAATCAGTATGGTAGATAGGTGCTTGTAAATCTTAACATAATTACAGTGCCAGGCTACTAGGTAGCACACACGTACATAGTTAGTCTAAAATATTTAAATTATGTTAAGTAACAGTTAAAAACTAACTTTTCAAAAAATTTAAATTATAGCATCACTAAACAGTCTAAAATATTTAAATCATGTTAAGTACCTAACAGTTAAAATCTAACTTTTCTAGAAGTTTAAACCCTAACTCTGTTTAAACTTAAAGTTTAAACCCCATCACTAACTCTGACTTCACTCCTCCTTGGTTCATTAGTGAGATCACACTTTGTGCCGTTAGTGTAATACTGGCTGTGGAAGCGCTGAAGTCTGTTGCTGTTGCGCCCTGATGCCACATCAGCACCACCCTTGCCACCAGCGCTCCAGTCATATTCACTTTCAAATCGACCAAGGATTAGTACTGCACCTGCGATTTTACCTCCTGCAAAAATGTGAGTAAGAGCATTTGGTAATAAAACTAGCTTCAATTTAGGCAGTACACAATTTTTATAATATAGTGAGAAGAGTTTTTACCTCCTGTAGAAATGTGAGTGAGAGCATTAAGCATTTGGTAATAATACTAGCTTCGATTTATGCAGTAAAAAAATATTACAATATTTTGGGAATAGTTAAATTTACAATTTAAATGTATGATAATGTTGTCCAACAGGATCTCTTGATATTCTTTACAATTTTTTTTTTTTCAAATATTACTGATGAAATACTTATATTTGACAACCACTGAATGTAATAGGTTGAAATTTTTTCTCTCAAATAGAAAGAAATATCAATAAAAATTCAAGTATGAAGGCTCTCTACTTACCCTCCATGTGATACTGCTTGATGACTTGACCGTAGCAGAACTCATATGTCCACCAGTCCTTCTTTGATAGCAAACAAGGAGCTTCTTCCATTGGCTTCAATAACTCTGAAAAAATAATAATCACTTATTTCTTCTAATTCATTATCTTTTACTCTAAACATAATAAAATCAACATGATACAAACAAATCCATCTTTCACATTTTTGAGCAATACCGTAATAAATCTTGAATGTTATTCAATTTATCATAAAAATTGTTAAGGACAGAGCCTAAAGAACATAAGTTGTGGACATGCCTGATATATCAACGGTGTCCACCTGAGCAGCGGTCTCATATACACATCTAGATGTGTATAANCTTTGCTGCCACTGCTTTTGAGGTCCAAATTTATCATAAAAATTGTTAAGGACATAGCCTAAAGAACATAAGTTGAGGACATGCCTGATATATCAACGGTGTCCACTTGAGCAGCGGTCTCATCTTTGCTGCCGCTGCTTTTGAGGTCCAGCGGGATGATGGGGAGAGTGCAGGCATATTCTTGTCCTTGTCGATTCACCATCATCAAGACATCTTCATTGAACTGAAAAAAATTGCAAATTCATAAGTACACAAATCAAATTAAGGAGATTACTTATAATCAAATTGAATGATATATCATACAAGAAATCCTAATGATAAAGCTATTATATATAACATGAGTAACTACTCTATTCCTGCTTAAATATAACATGAGTTACTCTCTATTCCTGCTTAAAATATATGTATTTAATATTTTAAATTATTAAGATTTTTTTAATATTTTGAAATTTTTTAGAAATTTGCATTAGTATACACAAAACATATATATCTGTATTTCTAGGTATAAAAAATATGATCTTGGAATCTTGCAACATATTATTCAAACTCCACAAAGTGGCCGGTAAGAAAATTTGGCAATTGGGTTGCCAAAATCAGGTTTTAAGCCTGTATGTTACTAGTATTATTGAGGACTTGTTGCCAGTACTACCTACCATCAATAATACAAGGTTGCCACTCAGCAGAAGCAGATCCTACACTAACCTTGCCAATAATCACTGAAACCCTAATACTTTTCAAAACTACAATTGGAGGGTTAAATAACCACATGACAGCTATGAAGATATTTTCATCACACTAAAAAAATGTGATCTAGTTTTGTTTTTAAAACAGCTAGTTCCTATTGAAAACTGGCAACTCATGTGCTGTGGCAGCAATGTTAATGGTATTGACAGCAAACCTTCAACTACCTCAAGTTATCTTGGCAAAAATATGTGAATTGAAGAATTCTAAGAGTAATGCATTGGCAAGATCTTTAGAAAATATAAATTTTGCAGATGATGTGTTGCAAAAGGTCACAAGATTTTTGCTCACTATATAGGTAGTGGCCACGGGCCAGGGCGCAGAGAGTGAGTGAAGATTTGAAGATCTTTGGTGATGCATCAGCAGCAAAATTTTTGTCTTCTAAAGATCTTGCTGATGCATATAGAAATTAATGTAAATATCCTGAATCTTTGGCAACAATTTCTGCAGATAGTTTTTTTTCATAATACAGTATCGTCAAATGGTACTAATCAACTTCATGGTTGCATTTTTTTTAAATGCAGGCTGAACTCACCTTCCTCTAAGATTCCATTAGACAATTTAGAATTAAAAAAAAATGAGGCTGTGCATAATAAGTACTGTCAACAAATAGATATGTATTTACTTATGTCAAGATCGATTTAGATTTGAAGATTTTATGAAGGAAGAAGTGCAAAAAATATCATTTGGCACATTCATTTAACTATATGAATATGCTCATTTAGCACATTTACCGACTATAGTATGCAAAGATACGCTTTTCAAATATTCAATAGGAATTTTGATGGGTCTTCTTCAAAATGATACAACTCATTTTCATTAATAATAATGATAGCAGATATGAGAATTTCAGTACAGGAGCTGCATTCTTGGTATATGATATTTGATAATACCAATTGATAATACCAAATTATCAAATTGCAGTAATACCAATTTTTTATTGCAATTTGATAATTGCAACGGGATTCTCTAACATAAGGGATTACCAATCCCAGCAACACCAAGCGGGATGCATTTTGCCATAATGAAAGGTTTCTTAGACTTTATTTTGAATGCAGGAAAGAGTTTGTAATTTCTTAGAATAACCTTAATGATAGAGGCAAAAATGAAACAACCCACTTACTACTATGTTTATTTTAATGGAGTTACAACTTAAATAGAAACATGGGAGTGTATTTATATATAAGTATATTTATTATAAAATTGCCAAAACTAAATCACTTATTTTACAAGTAATATCTATAGAGGAACCTTTTGCCTTAAAAACACATCCCCAAATAATCATTGTTCAATTTTTGTGGAAATATGATTCTTCTCTGCTTTTTTGTAGGTAATCATTTTATGCTCAAATTTTTTTTCAAAGAAGCTAAGGTGCTCTCACTTCTACGCCTTCAGAAGATCTTGCTGAAGCATTTGCATTTAAATTATTGCATTTAAGATATTAGCCAGTCTTTGGCCAACTATTTAGAAAAAAGTAAGGTTTCCAATACATTGGCAAAGCTGGGCAGCGCTACTTTGAAATGTAGCGGCCACTACCGCTATGGCTACATGCTCTAAATGTAGCAGGTGCTACTGCTACATTGCCTTAAATCTAGTGCCGCTACCAATACTGAAAAAGTGAAAATGTAGCGGCCGCTACATGTAGCGCGCTACTGCTCACCTCTGCAAGTAACAACTAACATGTTTACACTATTAACAGGCTGGGGTTGACAACATTACATCGAAATCTTTCGTACAGTTTTATTCTGTAATTTATATTATGTATGTATCATGCTGGTTTTTAAATAATATTTAATACTATTAAGTAAAATCTGAAGGCTTTATCTATAAATGTAGCAGTAGTGCTGTGGTGACAAAACCATATATTGCTGCTTAAATATGTAGCGGGCAGTACCGCTACTGCTACATTGCCTTCAATATAGCGCCGCTACCGCTACTGAAAATGTAGCAGCCGCTACATGTAGCACACTACTGCCCACCTCTGTCCATTGGATTAATCAGGATGCAGTGAAGCTTGTACAGAAATCAGTTGCGATGAGTTTTGGCCAAAATATACTGCAAAACGTAAACAACAAATAGTTGCAGTTACTTCAGTCTTCAGAGTACCATAGTCAGACTGCATTATCACATGTTCTGATGACAGTTAAGTGAAAACAAATGTTAGTGTTTCTGAACCATCATACTGCTTTTAGGGTAAAATTAGTTATTTGGGGTGATACGTGCATGTGAGCTTGTAAATAAGTTTGTGGCTTGTAAATGGCTTTTCATTACCCAGCTTAAATGGCTTTTCATTAAGAATTACCTGGAGATGATTTTGAAAATGGTTAACGATGCTTTTGTCCAAAAACTTATATATTGGCAATGCTGCTTGTACTCTTCTGCACCCTGATGTGATACAAAACATTAATCAAATCAAAAGTAGAACATTTTAACAAAAACGTTAAAAATGCCTAATACTTCATACATGCTATATCAATCCTGGTGTTGTAAAATAACAAAATGTGAACGTGAATTATGAAGTTATGAACGTGTCTGAATATGAGTTACTCAGTTAGGCAAAAAATTAGTTTGCCACCATGCATTGACTTGTTTACATTACAATGAACACATTCTGCAGGATATTTTGGCAGGAATGGTAAAGCAATGCAGATTGTGGAAGTTGAAAATTTTATAAAATGACATGTTTGTGAAGTGCAAACCGCAATTTTTTCAATCAAACAAAAATTTATGACATTTGAGCTGCAAGATTTCATACCCCACTATGCAGAGGGTGGATGCAGCGTCGGCAATATATGGATTTTTAAGCCCAAAGCGTCGCCGGCCATTTTAAATATTCGTTGCCGGGTAATTTTTAATGAAAAGCCATTTACGCTGAGTAATGATGAATTATTTACAAGCCACGAACTTATTACAAGGTTGCATGCACGTGTTACCCCAAATAGCTAATTTTACCCTAAAAACAGTCCGGTTGTACAGCAAGTGTCAACTGAACAAGTAATAAAGCAGTCTGACCGCTCTAATGCTGTCTCTTATACACATCTAGATGTGTATAAGAGACAGCATGGGGGTTACGTAAGTTACGTTACCCACTCACCTTTATATAAAGGGTCGGATTGTTCATCGAAATTTTACAAAAAGCTCTTAGGTTGGGTTAAGTCAGCCAAGTTCCTTTTTTTAGATAGCATTTTGATCTAAAAGGAACCTGGGCGAACCAACCCAACCTGCGAGTTGGCGTTAGGTTGTGATCTCTCGATGTGGCAATGTATCTCCAGATTTATGGGTGGTGGTGCGGAATAGCAGCCCCTGGGTGGTGCGGAATAGCAGCCTATATCGTAACCTAACCTAACCTAACCTAGCGCGATTTTAGGGTTTTACATAGGTTTACAGTCATTCCCAGATCGATTTAGTTCAAAAATGTTTTCCGATTTTTCGCCGATTTCGCAGATTTTAGGCATTTTTAGCGCGATTTTTGGGTCGGAAAAAAATTGGTTTTCCGATGCCGACCGCCAAAAATGGATTTCAGATTCGTAATCTACACCCCAAAAAACATATAATTCAAAAAAAAAACACCCTTTTTTTTGGATGTAGTTAATCTGCAATAATACCCAAAACATTAATGACTAATCAAAGAAAAAGTACAAAATTCTAACAAAACAAACTTTAAAATAGCTTAACACAAGTCACAAGTCCATGACTAATGACTTGTGACTTGAAGTCATCCCAGTCCTGGTGTAAATAAATAACGAAAAGTGAATTATGAAGTTATGAACAGGGGTGAAAGTGAGTTGGGCAAAAAATTAGTTTGCCACCATGTTAAACTACTCGTACTCATTGTCTGATTGACAGTAGTTAATCGATTACAAGTAGGCTACGTACCTACCTACAAAAGCCAATGTCAACAAACCTTATCCTTGAGGATGGGAGTTCCCATGATATCCATGCCATAGTATATTGAATTTATTTCATCGATATCAAAAGTTGCTTCAGATGTTAGGCACCAGCTTCCAAATAATAATAAAAATAAACTAATGTGACCCGTAAAACTCATGATTTGTTTTCTCGCAATGACATAAAACTGCAGTATAACGTCTTCGCCATCCGCAATATTGTTGAACTGTTGATTAAAACTTACTTATCCGCACAATTTCAGAACCAATGTGAGCCACGGATAAAAATTATTCATTTTGACGCTGCAAACACGAGTTAATAAAGGCAATTTTTATATAGTTCTAAATAGTCTTATTGTTTCATGGTGAAAAATATTAAATTTTATAATTGATATATGATCATCATAAAATATTATAGATGATCATTAAATGGCTGGGAGATTAGAACGAGATTTTTTATAGGCGTTGTGGCAAGTTTATTTGATTTTCCTAAGATGACTGCGAGAATCCTATTTTAAAATTCAAGATTATTTAAGAAGTAAAATTGAACTTTCAATCATAATAAAGCAAGCACAACGAGCAACGACAGAGAAGGATGACACTCTGCATGATTGATATCACACAGAACAGACCACGCCCGAAATTCTTAGGCGCATCAAAGTAAATCATACGTCAGTCATGAAGTATGGTTTATGGATGATTTATGATGAATAGACGTCAGTCCATTCCAGAAAAAAATGCCAGAGCAAAACTTCAATAAAGTGGGCACATGATAGCGCATTTTGAATGAATTATTATTCCAAATAATGTGTAATACAATTTTTGAGATTAAATTCTTTGTTTGTGACTGACATGCATCTTACTCTGTTTAACTTGCGTTTGGTTGCTGTTCAAATTGGCATCTTATTTTTTTTTATTAGGAGTTTTCGAAGTTTATTCTTCATTCACTGACTCTCGGATCATTTTCATGAGAATATAGTTAAGTGTTCCATTAATCACCTGGAATGTGACCCAAGGTTCCGCGACGTGCGACCGCTTCCCTCATCTACCGTTGGTATCCCCCCGTAGGCTACATGAAAGTGTAGGTATCCAGGCGGCGGCACTGCGCTGCGCTGAGGCTGTCAGGCTGCAACTCAGAACTGAATCGACACTTTTGCGGACCCGCCTGCGCTCAGACGATCATCACTGAGATACGTTGCTCCATGGTTGATCTACTAGTTCAACCATGCGTTGCTCGGTGTGAACACCGAAAAATTCTCCGTGTTTAGGAACCATTTGAAAAGATTGAACTCGGTAAAGGTCGATGAATAATCAGATAACGTGAAGTTTTCAGCTTTGGGTTCATTTTGTTTTGCTGCAATTAGTCGCTGAAAAAGTAAATTCGCTCCGTTTTCCCAAATCTTGCTTGGAAGCAATTCCAGACATAACTTATATCAGGTGCATTAAAACGATTATTTCAAAAGAATTTCTGGTTTCATAATGCTGACTTTATAATGCATTTTTTTTTTTCAATAATTCTCCTACATGAAGATGATGAAAGACCATTCATCTCTTCTTTACACATTTAAAAGGGACAGGCGATGAGAAAATTTAACTAAGGATCGCCTAATCTTTAATGGTTGTTAAAACGTTTTATTTCTGTCGTAGAGCCGCAACGTATTCTGCAATGAGCTTGGAAAACAATTACAATTTTCCTTAGGTCATCTCAGAAATTAAAGCTCATCAGGGACCTGCCTCTGGACTGGGCGGCAGTGGTAGGAGGGGTGAACCCGCCAGCTGTCCTCTGCCGCACGTCAAGGTCAAGGGCCAGATCAGGCGCTTCATAAAATGGCCAGCCAATCATTAGAGCATTAAGTTTTAAAGCCAGCATTTACTTCGGCAACCGAGACAGTCTTCTCAGTCATGCTTGCATAGAAATTTATCGTGTCTGAACATTAATGAGCTAACAATTTTGTGTCGTTATCCGCTGAACACAGCTGAATGTAGCTTGATCCAGTCTGTGAGTCTTGATGCAGAGTTCGTCCAATCGAAATACGCAGAACTGAATTGAATACCAGTCTCCAGTGCGCAAGTCTTGAAGTGCTTGTAAATAATTGCCAGTGCAGGCAAGCGTGCCTGGCTGAGGTCGAAGTAGGATTGAAGGTTATCGAACACCGCAGTCCTGCCAGGGAGCTCAGACAACACTAGGGGAGATAAGCAAGCAATCGCGGGTCCGGAGCTGTCATTCAGTTCGTTAATGAAGTCGTTAAACGTGTCGCACATCGCCTTTACTTCGGCAGGCTTTAACCATGCTTTAGTTGAAAAACTTACTTTTAAAATGAGGTTCCTGTGAGATTTGTTAGAATAATTGCATGAAATGAGATACTTTATGATTTGTACACTGAAAACGTCATTTCATATGAAATTTTTTTTCAACTTGAAAGACTTTTAAAGTTTTCAAGCACCAACAGTTTGAGACTTTTTAGCTACAGTGTATAGTTTTTAACATGCTAGGTGTAAGTACACAATTTACTTTTTTTTTAACGCCATCAGGGATACGCCCAAATTCCAATTAGCATCAAACCTGTTGTAATTGTTAAGCATGAATCAACTTAATCCATAACGCAACAGAGACGACTAATCTTAGGATATTATTTTTCAATAAAGTTTCACCCTGCAAATAAAAGGAGACAAATGTTAAGATACTATAATACAATATTTTATACATTTTTTGCTTGAAAACCACTCGACTTTATGTTGGAGTTCTCGATCGCCATGTCGGTTGGGCTGACCTTGAGTATGAAGACTACTCGAGACACTAGATTCTTCGCTGCCGCCGCCGGCACTTAGCGTCAGCGGTTCAGTCTTGGGAAGCATATAACTGCAGCAATGAGTATCACAGCTGTTGGCTGCAATGCGCGCCAACCACGAAAAATATTATGTTGAATATTCAGAGGCGTCCGAGTTTTTTGCAGTAATATTTCCTTATAAAGTTTACACGTTCTGGTGAATCTCTCTGAATAAGTTTTTCGAGTCTCAAGTGCGCCTAAAATTAATTATGATTATATGATTATATAGATGGACTATTGATGTTTTTTCATCCCGAAGAAAATTGTGACTCTAGATTGATATTATAATTTTCTATACGACTTTCACTTAATTTGCTAGTATCAGCAAAAAAACTGCTCATTTAGATCATTTTACTCTTCGATTTCTCATTTTTGGCCGCATTTAAAAATGTGATTTTTTGTGCCTGTAATTTCTGAAGCGTTAGTCTCCACAAGTCGTGTTGGATGACTCCTCGTGTCCTGGTTTTATGACTTTGTGAAGCACAGGATTTTCTCCTCTTAATTTCGACTTGCGATGGATGCGACTTTAATCGCAACCATTATTTATCACCTCGATTAATTGAATTTTTAATTGCTATATTTCATGGCTCCTTGGCATACTAGGCACCATGGGCTTGAATAAATTGTCATTTTTCGTCTTAAACGTTTCAGGCGATCTTGAAATATGTCAAATAAGAAAAAATATAATCTCTTCAGCTTCCACTTTGCAACCAACTTAGACTCGGGATTCATATAAGTCTTATTATAAGGTAAAACTCATCTGCGTTTTTTACAGTTTTCGCACACAAGCAAAAAAATCTTTCAATTGAGCCTCTTTGAAATAGAAAAAAAATTATAGCATGAATTTTGTCCCACTTAAAGCATCAATTGAAATTTATGAAAGCATCAATTCCTAAACCCAGGCTCTCGCGACCAGAAGATCCTCAGAAGGATTCTGGAATTCCTTCAAAGACGACGTCTAAATTAGTAAAATGAAGTTGTCGCCTGTATCGTTTAAATCTTACGAGACCGTCACTTCTTGCTCACACGCTCCGTAGAATGACTATTTTCTCTAACAGATATTTTAATTTCTTCCCTTTCATATCAATGATTTGTAAATAAATAGACAAATGAACCTTCATTTACAGCAAAAACAAACAGATAATTTCACGTACTTAATCTTTCTCACAGAAGTGTTCAAAAAGTGTGCTGCAACAAATGCGGATATCGGCCCATCTAAAGCCTCGGTCTTCATAGTTACGGAAGCTAGTATCTCCTTGTAGGGGTTCTTTTCTTGGGGTCATTTTGTTGAAGTGAAGATTGAAATGATTTAAAACCTATACGTGATTCTCAAATGCTCATAAATCGGTGATGAGCTACTACAGTGTTGTAATCTCGTTTGAGTAATTTCGCTCTTCATCTAATTTTCCGTCGGCATGCGAGAGAAAACGCTTCGTTTTTATTTTGTAAGCAGTTTTTCAAGTTAGGTGTTCGTTTTAAAATCCACGTGTGAGGGCTCACATCAGAGTGAGTACTTTTGTTTAGTCTTGCAAAGTTTGCGTTGCCGTATGGCCAGAGTTCATTCCATGAAATTTTAATATGAACGCAAGGGAATAAGATGTCACGAGATTTATTATTTATGCCTTTTACGCTTTTAGAAGATTCGAAATTCAATTCAAGCACAAAAAACGTTAAAACATTATGAACGCAAAACAGTAACGCAGCGACTGCGTCCAGTGATGGCAGAGTCGTGGTTTGTAATTGGTCACATCCTGTCATGCGTCGGACGACGTACGTGCGACTTGCTGGGGCGAACTGCATGGCAGAGGGAAAGCTGCTCGCCGTTCATTGCAATCAAGAGCCGCAGGTTAACCTGCACTGTATTTTAGACCCACTTAATTCTTGAATGTATATTGTTTTGTGACTACTTCTTACCCATACACTTATTGAGACCGTGCTTTTTCCTTATAAGTTATAAATCAGCAAAGGCGTCTTCGAATCAATGTAGCTTAAATATCTATTTATATTTTGTTCGCTTGGAATATATTACCCATTAATATTTATTTTAAAATACAGTGAATTAAATTTAATGAAGCTGAGAATTTTTCACACACGAGAAAATTTGTTTCATATTTGTCTACCAATATTTATGACTATCAACTAAGCTGTTCATTAGATTTTCATCATTTAGCTGCATGCAGTCATAATAATGAGATTTCGTTAGTTTGACAGTGACTGTATAGTGCATTCATCGCCAACTCATAGTGAACCAAGTCTCATAATGTTCACAAAAGCATTTGGTCTCAAATCTAAATTTAATTCAAAAAGATAACAGGTTTCCCCTCACTAGCCTGAAGCATGCAGCTGTGAAAATAACTTATGACAGCGCGGTCCAATCTCTGCGA